AAAAAAATAACGTAAGAACTTCATTTAGATGGGTCTGTTCTTTATATATGATTTACCATAAGCATGGCCTCATTTGCTGTTGTTTTGACTTTTGTATATGATTTGGTTTTATTTGATTTCTTTATTGCATAAAGGGGACCTCGTTTTATATATTATGATGATCAAAAATTGACCAAGACTTTGTTGTGATGACCAAAACACAGCAAGTTGGTCCCTGTTGTCCCGTTTGGGATGATTATTTCGATGTATGCGTATCGTGTCAAATTATTGGATAAGTCATATATTTGTTTTGAAAGCATTTTCTTATTGGTTAAACCGAAAACCGAACCTTTAAAGACCTAAAACCGATAAACCGAAAACCGATAACAAATATCTTATTGGTTTGGTTATCGGTTTAGCATATTTAAAAATCGAAAACCGATAAACCGGACCGATAATACTTAAAACCGAACCAAACCAACCGATACGCACCCCTAGTCAATACCATTGAAAGCATGGCGGATCTAGTGGGTAGTGAGGGGGTTTGGCAAAAAATTACATGGTATATCTAAGGTATTTTTTAAAAATTTCATGTATATATATAAATTTTAAGCCTGCTAAGCAAAAGATTAGAGGTTGGCTAGTGGTTTAGAGACCAAAATTCTCTTGAGGTTCTAAATTCATTCTCAAGTAGTATATTTTTATTTTTCAAACCCCATTAGTGAAAGTTTAAGTCGTGGATCCGCCACTGATTGAAAGGTCAATTTTTCATCTAGCAACCAATTCATCATAGTTAAACATGTAACTAAACAACAATATGATGATAACCCTCCTATGTTTACAAATTCTACTTATATATAAGAGTGAGTTTATGATGGGACATTTGAATGTCCCATCATAAACTCCCTATATAATATTCTACTTATATTCTACTTTTTTTCTACTATATAATATATATAATATATATTTATTTTCTAAGGGAGTTTATATAATATAGGGAAAAGGGTCAAAAATACCCCTCAACTTTAGTTTATTAG